GGAGAAAGTTTGAGAAATGATGTTAGTTTTCCATCTCTATAATCTTGGGTCACGGCAGTAATGCGGGTCACTGGTATAAATCATAAGGCACCTGTTCATGACGCTTTCGAGTTCGTTTGCTTTTTATCTGTTTACTTTCCTAAGGACACGATTCTATTACATCTTTTTTTGCTCCGAAAATCTAATGAGCAAAAGTGGAGAGCAAAAAAAAAACAATTTTCTAAGGATGTCAAATTGAGACAAAAAACGAATCAAAAGTGTTGCGAAGCAACTTTTTTTGATCCCCAGGAAAATTGTGATGGAGAGTAAAAAACAAAAGGAGAAAATTGAAATTCTAAACAATTTTAGAAAGTACAAATAATCTTCAATATTTGCAGATTCCGTACAGTGATGAGAGAAATATCAATATCATTAATTAAAGAGCGGCTTTTCATTTGATCTTAGCACGGTTTGTTAATTCCTGTTGATCCTCTCTGTATCAACATGACTAATCGATACGATAGTGCATTTAAATTATAGTTCGGGGGTTATCCAATGTCAATGTTGCATTATAGAAAATATTTTCTTAAGCCGAAAAGACTTTCTTAAACCTATTTTACAGCCTGTGGAGTGAAAGAAATTTTTCTTTACAACTGTCGTAATTCTGGCTAATCCTAATTTCTCGGTTTTGTTGCTAACCAATACGGATGTTACTTGAGTCATGCGCACGCCGCACCACCGACAGAACAGAAGGCACAGAAGGCTAACTTTACTTTTATTTTTATTTCACTGACTGTTCAAACAGATTTCTCATAACTGTAAGTTTATGGCTGTTATTTGGAAAGTATTCCTTTCGGCGTGGGTTGGATGTACACATGAATATTAAAGGGAGCTCGAATTTTCAAGTCATCAGTTTAAAATTGCAGCATTTCTGAATTCTTCTGTCACTCTAAAACAGCGGTTTGGTTTAGAAAGAATTATTTTCACCTTCGAGAAATAAAAAATTTGGTTCACAGAATCTAATTCTCATTTCTCTCGTTTGCATGAGTCATACCTACGCAGAGTATTAAAATGAGTTTAAGTTTAAATACACTATATGTACGATTTCAGATGTTGGTGAAAGCTTTAGTGGCGACTGGTTAGCGTCGATCGTAATATTATTTTATTTATGACCGACATGGAAAGCTGTTGCACTCGCATGTAATTTGCATCGATACACGGAGAGGTGTGTGTAATATCGGTAGCTGGACACACAACGATTTTTGCGTGACAACCAACATCTGATCGTTGATTCTAAGCGTGAAGAATTTATTCTTCGCACGTTGAACCCCGCGCGTATATCCGTCTTTTCTAACTGATTTAATCGACCTAAGCACCGTGAAGAAATATGCCTCTTTTTTTTAATAACGAAACATTTCACGCTGATCAAATCCAAATGTTTAATAAATAATTATACAAAAATCTTCTTATATTAACTGTCAAGAGATTAGTTATGTTATTCTCTTTAAGCATCGCGTATACAGTATGTAATTTCATAGTATAATTCTTGTAAAGTAATCTATTTCTTGTATATTTATTTTTTTTGTGATCATAATGAAGCTGAAGTCGTTCGCAGTGCTTAAAAATTCTGCATGTCCTAAATTTTTACTCATCATACAATGTTCACCAGTCATTCTGCGGTGCAGTCGAACAAGCTGCCGCATTCTATTCACTTGATAAACGATGTCGCAATGTCAAAGGGTGAAAAATTGAACTGATAAATTGCTCACACGACAATTTTTATTTAACAACCATCAAAAATTCTATATTATTATCATCGAATTTCGACTCACTGCTTTTTGACAGATTGATAAACTCCAGTTTATCAATCTGTCAAAAAGCAGTGAGTCGAAATTCGACTTTTTGACTTGGAGTTAAATGGTGAGATAAGTACAGCTTGATAGTGGCATTAGTCTTTTTTAGCACCTCTAGAGAAAGAGAGAGAAAAAAAAGTTCTAATCCTTGAAGGACACGTGTACGTCCTCAAAATGGTGTGACAAGAAAGAGAAAAATGAGAATGTAAAAAGCGATGCAGTTTGATGCCCTGAAGTAATCCGACCTCTAGGAGGCACTCACGTCCAAGTGATTTCTGCTCGAGGGGTCCGTCCTCTATCGTGACGACTTTGCCCCACACACCATGAACCATGGGTGCTAGTGTTTGTGCACATTCACATGTGTAGCGAACGGAAAGACGGACAAAAGAGAAGCAGCTGGGGTGATGACGTCACTACCTGTCTTACAGCCCCGGTAACACCCGGGGGTATGGGTCAGGCCATCTCAATACAAAGCGTCGTGTTCCTTCTCCATCCGTAGGTTTTACGAAACACACAAGGTGTATATGCACTTTATGGTCACAAATACACAAAAAAAAACCCATAATCTTTAGGTAGGTATAACGTCTATATGCGCACACTTGTCATTTCACCAGAGTTTCCTTTCGATGGAATTTATTCTCGAATTTATTCTCTTCGCCAGTTCTCCTCCATCTAAAGTGCAATTTCAGCGCGAGAGTGTGACGCACTTCCCTCATCGCGGTGTAAAAAAGTTTCTGCATTCGCAGCAGATGCTCGAAGGGGAAAAATGATCTCAAATGGGATTTTAAAAATGTTGAGAATATCTTATTTGCGTGCACGCGCATAAATGAACGTCGGGGAAATGATAATGTTTCGCAATGTGTCATTAAAGTTTATGTGAAGAGTTGAGAACAGTTCAAAACATTTGAATTTTAAATCGATTCATCAAAATACATTATTTCGATTTCCTCAAAGATAAACAAAAGAACAAAAGTTCAATTCGTCATCATCAAGAGCAAAAACGATGTTAGAAAATTTTCGATTTACACTAATCTGTATTAAACTTCTGAAAGTTACCAAAATTTCGTTTCCTTAATTTAAACTCTAGAGATGGTTTCGTTTCGACTATCTCTGCTTCAGGAAGGAACTTAAGATAGACTCTAAGATAATCTTATACAGATAAAACACTAATGAGTAAATGCATAAATTTTTTTTTGTTCCGATATAAAAGTACCTACATTTTATCTCACATATAAGAGTCCGATGTTATTTAATCAGAGGGAATTGATCGATAAGACAAATAAGCTATAAAAAAACATAACGTTGAAGAGTTCTTGGCAAGCCGAGTGAAGCCGAGAGATAACGAGTTGAAAACATTTTGCCAGCATCTGACGTTCTCAAAGAAAACTACCATCATCCAAATTTTCTTTTTTTCAATAACAGCAAAAATTCTTCAAGCACATCTTCAGCTTTATTAAATTTCCAAAAGTGTATAATCAAACTCCTGTTGGCTCTCTAAACCCTTTGACGCACTTACAATAACATTAAATGTTGACCGACTATACGTCAAAAAAAATGATTTTAAAAATACAAAGTACGTTCACCTATAGTGCCGACTATAAATAAATGTAACCAATATTTATATCGGGAAACGTGTATTATGAAATAAAAATGTGTGAATGTGTCAAAGTGTATGTACGACAAAAGTGTAGGTATGATAAGAGCAGGACTGTTATTTTAAAAAAATCATGATTTTTTCCGGATAAAAATAAAGACATAAAAGTGTATGTGCTATAAGACTAAACTAAACCTAAAATAAGACAACTTGGAGATATGTATATCGATTTTATTTCCGATATGTTAATATTTTTATAATTTAATTTATCACACGTGCAAATGTATACTTACCTGCATTTATATCTAAACCGAAGTGTACTTTAACAATTTCCAAAAAGAGAAATAGTAAAATATAACGTACTTCCATAAAACTGGATTTAACAAAAAATTCTCGTTTTTCAGGGGAATAGTTGAGATTATTCACAAATCAGTCAAGTAGTTAAATCTCTCGCAATCTATTAAATCCAAGGACTTGGAAGTAAATTGTATTTGTATTTTCTCGATTACTTGCAATTCTCCTTAAGAATTATTCTGGATCAGGCATTTTACAGTCGTTGCGGAAAGCGATAAATAGAAATAATACTTTATGGGCAGACCGATTTCGAGTCAATACAGATTGTAAATTGTCAAAGGTATAGGCCAGGTAAAGACATCAATTTGATAGATTGGTATTTTAGTTTCCATTTTCAATGAAACAAATCTAGCCACGGTTCATTGATCTTTAGGGTATGAAATTACTCTTAACAATGTACTCACAAGAAATTTATTTCAAAATAAGTGAATAACTTGAAATGAATAAGTTGACAGGAATGTTAAATAAAAGAATTTCTTTTTTAGAAAGATTGATGGAATTTTTAGCATTTTTCTTCGGAAATTTTAAGCTAGTATCTTAATGTCCCTTTGGGATACTCCGAAAAAGGCAAAAATATACGAATTGATCCGCGTTCTTAAATTGTTTACAGTTGAGTCATAATCTCTTTTGAATAATTGGATTATATAAAATGGAGAAAAAAAGTATAATACATCATCTTTCGTTTTCAAAGAGTTTTAGTATTCGTCCAATTTGTTAAGATTATGTAATTCTATAATTTTATATACAATTTTGAAAGAAAAACATTTTAATTAAAAATTCTGGGTTACACAAGTGAAATTTTTCACCAAAGGAGTTTGACCAAAGGAATCAAAAAAAGGAGTTTAAAAAAGAAAGAATTTAATTTATATGATTAAGAATTTGAGTCAAAAATCAATAAAACTCGGTATAATTTACTCTATAGCAATGTTTTGATTAAACTTTATATTGAGTGATTCTGTTATCGAATGCAGTTTTAAACTTTGGAACCAAAATAAAAGCTCTAACCACTGCGTGCTAGAAAAGCAGGTGATAAATCAGATTCAACGAAAACAGAATAGAAGACAAATATAACCTCAAAATTTACTTGGTTTATTTTGGGTCACGCCGCTTCTTTATCACCCACAGTTCCACACTTGGCTTATCTTTGTAAATCAAAACATTCCCTAAAAATAGTTTCTTATTAAAAAAAGCATTTGTTCAAAAAAAAAACCTCAACTCACTTGTAATCGATCGAAATTCCAATTTTGTCTTGTTTACATCGCGTCCATAATGTGCCAACAATCGATTCTAGACTGTAAAAACACTTTAACACTTGAACTCAAACACAAAACAAAACTGTACATCCTAAAAGGCCACAAAATCAGAAAAAAGAAAACTTCAACACTCCCGTCTCCCTTCCTGGAATCGTCCTCGTCGTTTAGTTGGGGTCTTGAAGATCGCACAGATTCACCATTCGAATCAAGAAATAAAAATACTATTAATATTACACAAAAGAAAAATTAGAATTTCAGTTCTTATGTAGACGACACGAAGGGAAGAGTAAGTTGTTTATTTTTGGAGTTAAAATGCAATTGGAGTATTTTTGTTTTATAATATATGGGTGAAAAAAGAGACGCAACGTATTTCCTCCAAAGGACGCGGTTGTAGACTGACTCTCTGTCGAGTCTCTGGTGGAGAGGCGCCGATGTGTTTACTCCCCCCACCCGCAGATCGCGCTCGTTGCTGGTCTTCCCTTCCCCTAACCCTTCTTTGCCCCATAGTTGCTGCCCGGTCCGCCCCCCGCGCGCCTTCCTGTGCCCGGGGCTCAGCTGTCCAACAGTGGTTCTCATTAGAGATTTCAATTATTTACGAAAAATTATTACAAACACGAGCTTACACAAGGTTTTGTGGTCTTTTTTTTTATTTTTCCGGTACGAGTCGTAAGCAAAACATTTTTTTTTTTTGAATAATCAAGAAGTGCAGTGGTTGACCTACTGGAGGTCCATAACCTACTGTCGCGTTGTCCTCGCCCTCACTCTAGGTCAAATTTTAATTCCTACTGATTACTGATACTGACTACCATTAGTTATCTGTATAGTAAAAATTACTCATTCGGAGTTTAACTCAACACAGAAAAAACGATAAGAGTCATTCCATTATATTTCGACTAAAGTCGTTGCTGACTAATTTTAAAAAATTATAATATTTTGCAGGAATGATGTTAAAGATATTAGGATCACCGAACAAAAAGAATTTTTTAAATATTTTTTATATTTATTGTAAAATAAGCATCTAAAGTATATGAAGTCGTAAAAACTGTCACATTTTCATCTATTAGAAAATATTAAAGAAAACACATAATTTACTATAAAAATGTAAAAAAGTTATAATAATTTATTAAGAATGAATTGTTTTATTATTATAAATTGATAGAAACAATTATTAATAAGAAATATTAAATAAAAAAGGATTTTAAAGTTCACCTGCCAAATAACCTAATTTTGCAAATTTCATTCACTAAATGTGAGAAAGAGAAATCATTAAATTGAATAAAACCTTATGAAATATAAAGAACCTGTGATTAACTTTTAGTTTTTCTTATCACTTTCTTCCTTTTTTCTTCATAAATGTTAAAAAATAAGCAATTAAAACTGGCACTTTGCTTATTTTCACGATTTTAAAATGCAAATAACTTCTGCCCAGAAAAATGAAAAATTACGAAAATTGGACAATAATTATTTGATCACTAAATACACTCACTGGAAAAAGATTTTCTTTGGTCCCGAAGCTATTTTCCAAATTCATTACCTTTAAACTTTTTACTATTTTTATCAGGTTAATACATGTGTTTTTTAAAGGACGAAGTTAGCTCTTCTTGTTTAATCGTTTTGAACCAACTTCAGTTTTAAAAAAATCACATGTATTAACCTGATAGAAATAGTGAAAAGTTTAAAATTAATTATTTCGGAAAATAGCTTCGGGACCAAAGAAAATCTTTTTCCAGTGAGTGTATTTAGTGATCAAATAATTATTGTCCAATTTTCGTAATTTTTCATTTTTCTGGGCAGAAGTTATTTGCATTTTAAAATCGTGAAAATAAGCAAAGTGCCAGTTTTAATTGCTTATTTTTTAACATTTATGAAGAAAAAAGGAAGAAAGTGAAAAGAAAAACTAAAAGTTAATCACAGGTTCTTTATATTTCATAAGGTTTTATTCAATTTAATGATTTCTCTTTCTCACATTTAGTGAATGAAATTTGCAAAATTAGGTTATTTGGCAGGTGAACTTTAAAATCCTTTTTTATTTAATATTTCTTATTAATAATTGTTTCTATCAATTTATAATAATAAAACAATTCATTCTTAATAAATTATTATAACTTTTTTACATTTTTATAGTAAATTATGTGTTTTCTTTAATATTTTCTAATAGATGAAAATGTGACAGTTTTTACGACTTCATATACTTTAGATGCTTATTTTACAATAAATATAAAAAATATTTAAAAAATTCTTTTTGTTCGGTGATCCTAATATCTTTAACATCATTCCTGCAAAATATTATAATTTTTTAAAATTAGTCAGCAACGACTTTAGTCGAAATATAATGGAATGACTCATAAACTAATTTTAAGAAGCGCGTAGTTAAATAAGAGACAAGACTATTTTCTACTTCATTTAAGTGGGACACTTAATTCAAGTAGAGAATATCCTGGGCACCTTTTTAATAGTATATATTCTTAAATTAAGAATATTTTTTTTCAGTGTTAGAAAAGCTGTTTTTTTCAAATCCAAATTATCTATAAAAATAAACCTTCAGGTTCAAATAGTTGAATTTAAGAAAAAAGGCATTTTAGATTTTATAAGATTTTGTTTTTACGGTGTATTCATGAATTTGCTATTTTCGATATTGATTCTGTAATTTGAGAAACTAAAGACACTAATAGTAAAAAGAACTAACTTGTATTTATAATGAAAAATGAAAGAAGCAAATAAGAAGATGTCTCGACATGAAATTGGACATAAATTATAAACCACTGTGCGTCTGTTCTACTCGATTAACCGTATAAATTATATATAAACATATCTTCGTGTCGAGAGGAAGTCTGAAGGAAATGAAGAAAAAATCTAAAATTAAAGGAATTAATAAAACCGCGAGATTGCGTTACCACAATTTTCTTTCAAGTCATATCGTAAAGATCAAGTTTGCAAATTACCTTGAACTAACAATATTTTCGAAATCATTAATTAAACGAATTAATATTTTTTACTTTATCCCGAATTTTAAAAAATTCAGCAGAACATATTGAAACTTCCTGCGATGCTTCTTCTTTAATCCTCTTTGTTGAAAGCAGTTTTGTAGAATTTTTCGATTTTTAATTTTAAATGCAATATTTCCTCTCCTGTTCGCTAGCATAACTTTTTGGATAAAGAAAAACATATTATTTGTTAGAACATAAAATTTAAAATTCTCTTATTATCTGAAACTGATGAAACATACTTATATTCGAGTCTTTTCCTCTTTTATCTCCGTTAGTTAAAATTGAATTATCATTTGTTTTATAGCAATGGACCGGAAGATAGTATTATTTTTTTTTCACTTGTCCGCCGAACCAAAAAATCACTTTAATCTTTATTCTCCGTGTGTATCGGTGCGCGCATTAAATAATCCATATATATTGTTTTTCTCCTATATTTCTAAATGAAAAATTTCCGTAGATATTCGCGCATGGAAACGTGTTTTCATTGATTAATTAGTCAATTATCGTTTAAATGCGCGGAAAAAAAAGAATGTCGTAATTTGAAAATTCAGGATGTGATAAATAAAAATGGCAAAAATGACTCACTACGGTGAGTGAGAGTGTCTTTGTCGACACATCATGCAAGGTCTTTCAAACCAAATATGTGTTAAGGTGCTAAAATTGCAAGAAAAACTTTTCAAACTTGTTTAAAATTCACGTAAATATTTTTACAAAAACTGTCCTCTTTTAAACATGTTTTAGTCAATTGAGCATATCATTTGATTTTAAGTGCAATTTTTCGAAACAAATGTGTGAAAAAAATGTGTGAAAACTTTGGTAGAAATACTCTTTAGTTTCGGCTCAATTTTAACTGAAAGCATTCGTAACTGAATTTTAGCCCTGATATAGTATGGTTTTGAGAGTATGGTAGTATGGATAGTATGGTTTTTTTTATTACTATAAAATAACTGTAATATAAGCATTATGTAAAGAGTCATGTAATCCGAAAATAGCACAAGTAAATATACATTAAAGATTTTTGGAGAAATAAATCTTCATTAATGAATCGATGTTACAATTTCCGGAAAGAGATTGATTGATTAGAGTTAGCAGTTTAATCTTAGTTCCTGTGGGGAGGGGAATCTTGAGAGAGTGTCCCAAAGTTGTGTGTACCTATAGATACAAGTTTCTTTAGACATAAGGGAAACTGATGCGAGAATTCTAGAATCCTCCTTTCAAAGTCTGAATTCTGAATTTATGTGCTCTTCCGAATTACCCTCTCTTTTGCCTGTGCACAAAAACATGTGTAAGTAAATCTTAATATACCAACTTCAAAGTTTAATTTCATCCAATTAGATTAAAAGTCTCGTTGTGCACATCTTCAGTTTCAAATTATATTTTTGTGCTATGTAAAAAAATAGATCTTACTTTGAGCCCGCACTTTTCACTAAAATCTAAACAGACTTCGCGCTCGATAATTAATTTTTAAAAAAGTAAAGATTTTTCTACTACCGAAAACGAGAACAAAAATTCAAAACACTCTTTCTAAAATCTCGGAAACGAATGGCACTATAGCAATTTAACATTATCCTCGCAAAAACGGAAGAAGTCTATAAATACCTTTCTACCTCAAATTATTTGCTATATTTTTTAATGTTACTTTTTACGGGGCAAAAGGAAAAAAACATTTCCAGAAGAGAAAAATCATTGGAAATGATATAAATATAAATGCAGAAAGCGTATATAAAAACTTGACTAATTTAAAGAAACAACAGTTCTTAATTTTATGAACAATTTTGTGCAATTTGCAGGCAGTATATGCACGTGAAGTTCTGTTCGTACATGTATAGAATTGGGAGTTAACTGTCGACAGCAGCGAAACACGATTTGGATTAGTGCCAAGAGTGAGTAAAGTTGTCGAAAAATCGACAAAAATTGCTCCCAGGAAATATTTCGATTTTACCTTTCAATTTCACTGTAGGTTCCAAATAAGAAATAGAATATTTCATTTCACATAAATATGTTTAGGAAATGTGATCCGCATTAGTGAAAGTTGCAATTGCGTGTACTTAAAAGTATAACGTATAACCTAAAAGTAAAATTTAAACAAAAATAAAAAATGCTATACTTTCTTCCAAATATAGAATAAGTTTTACTATTTAAGTTTTACTTCACAGAAAAAATGGTAATTTAATTTTAAGAAGAATATTTTTGGCTTCTATTTAAGTAGGCGCTTCTTAAAATTATAGATTATCGTTTTTTCTGTGCTTTTATAAAGCAATTTAGAAATCGTAATTTCGGCCAAATGCGGGAAAAGTATTTATTTTGAGCAATTTAGAAACTGTCATCGTGAGGGAGGAAAAATGTTTTTATTGGTTAAGGAGGAAAAATAAGGATTTATATTTCAACGAATTGTAATGTTTTTCATTCTGTGGCCTCTG